ACATAGAAATAAAAAAAAAACAATTGAAAGGATCAATGAAACAAAGAGCTGGTTTTTCAAAAAGATAAACAAGATTGATGGACCATTAGCTAGACTTACCAAGAAACAAAGAGAGAGAACCCAAATACACAAAATCAGAAACGAAAGAGAAGTAACAATCAACACCACAGAAATACAAAAGATCATTAACAGCTACTATGAACAATTATATGGCAACAAATTCGACAATCTAAGCAAAATGGACACATTTCTAGAAACACACAGTCTCCCAAAACTGGACCAGGAAGAGATAGAAAACTTGAACAGGCCAATAACAACTAAAGACATTGAAAAGGTAATCACCCGATGGCTTCAAGGGGGAGTTTTACCAAACATTCAAAAAAGGACTAACACCCATTCTCCTCAACTAATTCAAAAAATTCAAGAAGAAGGAAATCTTCCAAACTCGTTCTATGAGACCAGTGTAATTCTAATTCAAAAACCAGAAAAAAAACACTACAAAGAAAGAAAACTACAGGCCAATACCATGATGAACTTAGACACCAAAATCCTGAACAAAATACTAGCAAATCAGATCCAGCAATACATCAAAAAAATTATTCACCATGACCAAGTGGAATTCATCCCAGGGATGCAAGGCTGGTACAATATTTGCAAATCAATAAATGTGATACAGCACATAAAAAAATGAAGACTAAAAACCACATGATCATATCAATGGACGCTGAAAAAGCATTCGACAAAATCCAGCATCCATTTCTGATAAAAACGCTCAGCAATGTGGGAATAGAGGGATCATATCTCGACATAATAAAGGCCATATATGAAAAACCTACAGCCAACATCATACTCAATGGACAGAAACTAAACACATTTCTCTTAAGAACAGGAACAAGACAGGGATGTCCACGTTCACCACTCTTATTTAACATAGTACTGGAAGTCTTAGCCACAGCAATCAAACATGAAGAAAAAATAAAAGGGACCCAAATTGGAAAGGAGGAAGTAAAACTGTCATTATTTGCAGATGACATGATATTATACATAGAAAACCCAAAAGACTCCATCAAAAATCTACTAGACTTAATAAATGAATTTAGAAAAGTAGCAGGATACAAAATTAATGTCAAGAAATTGACGGCATTTGTATACACCAATGATGAACTCACAGAAAGAGAAACTGAAAAAACAATCCCATTTACCATCACAGCAAAAAATTAAGATACCTAGGAATGAACTTAACCAAAGAAGTAAAGGATCTATTTGCAGAAAACTACAGGACATTGAAAAAAGAAATATAGGAAGATATAAAAAAGTGGAAGCACATACCTTGTTCATGGATTAGAAGAATTAACATCATTAAAATGTCCATATTATCCAAAGCAATCTATAGATTCAATGCAATCCCCATCAAAATACCAACAACATATTTCTTTTCTTTTTTTTTATCCTCACCTGAGGACATTTTTGCATTTTTTGTTCAGGTAGAGTGGGAGGGAGAGAGAGGAACAGAGAGAGAGAGAGAAACATCGATGTGGAAGGAACACATCGAGTGGCTGCCACCCACACAACCGACCAGGGCCAGGGACAAACTGCAATCGAGGTACATGCCCTTAGCGGGAATCGAACCTGGGTCTCTCCGGACCGCAGGCAGACGCTCTAACCACTGAGCAAAACCGGCCAGGGCCCAACGACATATTTCACAGAACAACAAATACTTCAAAAGTTCATATGGAACCAAAAAAGTTCCTGAAGAGCCACAGCAATTTTGAAAAAGAAGGACAAAGTAGGTGGGGTCACAATACCAGATATCAGGTTATATTACAAAGCGACTGTAATCAAAAGAGCCTGGTACTGGCACAAGAATAGGTATATAGACCAGTGGAACAGAACTGAGAACCCAGAAATGGATCCAAGGCAATACGCTCAATTAATATTTGACAAAGGTGGCAAGAGCATACAGGGGAGTAAAGACAGCCTTTTTAATAAATGGTGTTGGGAAAATTGGACAGCTGCATGCAAAAAATGAAACTCGACCATCAACTTACACCGTACACAAGAATGAACTCAAAATGGATGAAAGACTTAAATGTGACCCGTGAATCCATCAAAATTCTAGAAGAAAATGTAGGCATCAAAATTTCAGACATCATACGCAGCAGAATTTTCACTGATACATCACCTAAGGCAACAGAAACAAAGGAAAAAATAAACACATAGGACTACATCAAACTAAAAAGCTTCTTCACAGCAAAAGAAACAACCATCAAAATGGAAAGGCAACCCACTGTATGGGAGAACATCATTGCCAATGATATATCAGATAAGGGGTTAATTTCCAAAATACATAGAGTGCTCATACAACTCAACAAAAGGAAGACAAAGAACCCAATTAAAAAATGGGCAGAGGAGCTGAATAGACACCTCTCCCACCAGGACATACAAATGGCCAAGAGACATATGAAGAATTGCTCAACATCACTAATCATCAGAGAGATGTAAATTAAAACAACCATGAGGTATCACCTCACACCTTTCAGAATGGCCGCCATCAACAAATTATCAAACAACAAGTGCTAGTGAGGATGTGGAGAAAAGGGGACTCTAGTACACTGCTGGTGGGAATGCAGACTGGTGCAGCCACTATGGAAAACAATATGGTGCTATCTCAAAAAATTAAAAATTGAACTTCCATTTGACCCAGTGATCTCACTTCTAGGAATATACCCTAAGAAGCCTGAGACACCGATTAGGAAGAATATATGTACCCCCATGTTCATAGCAGCACTATTTACAATAGCTAAGATCTGGAAACAGCCCAAGTATCCATCAGGAGACAAATGGATAAAAAAGCAGTGGTACATATACACAATGGAGTACTATGCAGCTGTACGAAAGAAAGATCTCTTATCCTTTGAGAAACATGGAGGGACCTGGAAAGTATTACCCTAAGTGAAACAAGCCAAGCAGTAAAAGACAAATACCATATGATCTCACTTATATATGGAATATAATGAATATAACAGTCTGAGGAATACGGTAGACCCAGAGACGTGGAAGTAGGGTACAGACTGACAACCTTCAGAAGAGGGGGTTTTGGGGGTTCGGAAGAGATAAACCACAGAACTTATATGCATATATGCATAACCAATGGACATGGACAACAAAGCTGGGGAACGGGGCGGAGGGGATGGTGAGGGGTGTATCAATGGGGTAAAAAAGGATAAATATCTGTAACAAAATAAAATTAAAAAAAAAAAAGTAGGCACTTAGTGAAGACTATAAATTCTATGGTTTTGTATAAATTTTACGTGAAATTCTATAAAAGGCAAAATGATAGTTTGCTTTTTGGCAGATTAGTGGTTGCTTAGAAGCAAGAGTGGTGCAGAGGGGCACAGAGAGTTTTTTTGTGGTGATTGAGTGTTCTGAACCAGAACTGTGGTGGTAGTTCAATGAGTATCGTCCCAATCTCTTGAACTGTACACTTGAAATGAATGAAAACCTGTAAAAGTTTATTATGCCTCAGTAGAGCATAAACAGTAAATATTGTTTGGAGACTGTTACCTCTGTATCAGTAAGATAAATAAAGAATTTGTTTCATTTAATTTATTGGCCACCATGTCTAAATAATGACTTTTTTTATGCTTGGTTTTTAAATCCCTTGGTAATCAACAGGTTTAAGGCTGAGCATGTTGTTAAAAGTTTAGAGCCATGTGTGTTATTTAGAACATGGAATGAGATCACATTTCTTCCTGGTGAAGAGCAAATAGCAAATTACTTAAAAGGGTACCTGGTATTTACTGCCTAATCCTTAACATCAGTTTATGTTTTTTAAAATCGCCAAGAAATGCTTACTTGATCACAAAAGTATTGGACCAGTTTTTTTGGTTAACAACTTTCTATATGTTCAGCCATATACATTTTAAAATAAAAAAGCATAAACATATAGGACAGTGGGTAGAAGCAACAGAATATAAAAGAAGATAATTTATGCACCCATAAGCTTAGATCATTTTTTATTGCTCTTTCTCATTTACAGCCTTGTAAATAGAACACGTGCTTTCCCCTTACCCACTACGATTTGTCTGTTATATTAATGTTAGTGCTACATAAAATATTATTATGGAAAAGCATAAATGTATAAAAGAAAAAAGCAATCTAATGAACCATTAAGGACTCAATAGTTTCAACAGTAAATATAGTTTTCTGTAAGTCTATACCTACTCTACATCCTACATCTCAACCTAGGTATCTTTTAGAGACAAATCCTAGATATCACATAATTGCATGCATAAATTCCTTTGTATGTATCTATAAAAGGCATTTTAAAAATAATAATTCCAGTACTATAATTTCTAAAATAATTAGTACAATGTCTATTATTATGAAATATACAGTATTACTATTTCCTCCAATATCACATAGTATTTTAAACTTATATTTTGTTTGAATCAGCAAACAATACACGCAATACATTTTATTGGTATAATTTATGTTGCTTTTAACTTATAAGACCCCCTTCCTTTTTTTCCTTATAATTCAGTTGTTAAAGAAAGCGAGGGCATGGTCCTATATAATTTTACACATTCTGGATTTTGACTATTGCATCTCTTTGTGTTACTTAAGATGGTCTGCATATTTCTTTATTACCTATAAAACATAGTTACATTTAGAAGATAAATCAAATTTGTTTTATCTTTCGATTATTTTGAGCTTCTTATGGTATCACATCAAGAGGTATATTATGTCTAGTTTTCATTTTTATTGTTCTTACTGAGACTGATCTAATTAGGTAGCTTCTCTTTTTTTTCAGCATCTATATAAACTTAGTGATACCAATACTAATATTTTTACTAATATTAAGATTACTGAATGGTTTAAAATGTCCTTGTACTTCTTAATTTTACTTTCCATATCATTATTTTTTTTATATCTATTTATTTTTATTGTGGTAAGATATACATAACATAAATGACCATTTTAATCATTATTAAAGGTACAAAAATATGAAATGTTTCATTCATTTATGTGTATACCATCCTTGCCAAGGTTTGGGCTAAATCTTTTCTGTATTGTTCCAAATTTTATGTGAGCTGCTGAAGCAACACCTTGTATATCTTTTTATCTTTAGGATCCATTTGAATTTCTGACTTGCTCAAAATTATGAATTACTGTATCTTAAAATCCTGTTAATGAATAAACATGTAAACAATGAAATAATGTTTCATTGTTTTGTCATTTGTTTATGTATTGATTATATTTATCATGAATATTTGTGAACAAATTACATAACAAAAATGATTAATTTTCCGTTATTGGTTCTATTTTTTGAGTCACAATTAAGAATATTATCCCTACTTTCAAGCTTATAGATGAATTCAGACATAGTTTCTTTTAATATTCACATGTAATATGTGAAGGAAATTTTGTTTTTTCTTTACATAGCTTTGCCATTTATCCAATACTACTAATTATAAATAATATTTTTACTCATTGCATTTTGATGTTATGCCTATAACCCACTAAATTTTTATTTGTAAATAATAAGTCTGTTTCCCGATTTCCTACTTTGGTCCATTTGAAATCTGATATGTTACTTCTTAATTATAGAGGACATAAAATACATTTCATATTCGGAAAGGGGGTTTAGGACATCTTTTTCATGGTTTCTGTATCTTGCTTGTTAGTTCTTTCATATGAATTTTATAATTAAATTTTCTTGTTCAAGAAAAAGTAGATGTTTTTATTGCAATTATATTAAACTTATGAATTGAAGATTTTTGTTGATATGCACATGCATGAGTGGTGTATGGATTCCTTTGGCACATTTTATTCAATGTTGTAATAAATATCACATCATCTTATAATGAGAATTTGAAAGTTTTGTCCCCTTTGTTTATGCTTTAAAATAATTTAAGTAGTACTGAGATTATCTTTAAAGCTGTTTAAAGCAATTCACTTGTGAAAGTATCTGGAGCTAAGTCAAATGATTTTAACAAAATATATCATGATTTTTGGCTGCTGTAAAACTTTTCTCAGAGACATGGTATTCCCTTTCAATACAAAGATATAATTTTAATTTATTTTAGGAAAGTTGTATTACAGTTTTTAATATATATTTTTGCCTTTGTTTTTACTTTGTATATATATATATATATGTATATAGTCTTAGATATATATACATATGAATTACTTTCTGTACTTTTTCGATAACTTCCTCATATTATCTTTCTTAATTTTTGTTTGATTTTAAAATTTATTTTTCTATCTCCCATTGTCTATTTCTAATGTATCATTTATGATTCTTTTTTGTTTTCATTGTCTATTAATTTTGTCTTTATTTTTGAAATTATTTTAAATTTATTTCTAAACCATTGTAGAGCTCAGTGAGATCTACTTTCAAACTCTTTTTCAGTCTCATAATTTTATTTTCAATTTTTTATTTCTAATGTATGCTTTATTTTTTATCCTAATTGTATTTAGTTTATTTAGAAATATTAAGCAACAATTCAAAACTTGGGGGGGAGGTTAGAAATCATAATCTTTTGGTTGTCTTTACTGTCTGAAAGATGTTTGTTCTTCTCATAATTTTCTTTACCTAAACTGACTTGATATAAAATTCAACCTTAATTCTATTGTGTTATGACTATATGTGAGATGTGTTTGCTTGTATTTTTAAAGCTATCTTCCCATATTTGGAAATGTGCCAAGAGAACTTTCATAGCTTCCTGGATCCAGGCCTTTCTTAAATGTGAGGCATCAGTTAGTTCAATTACTGTCTGAGAACAGACACAAGCGCCCCCCGCCCCACACTTTTTTACTGTTACCGGAATATTTTCTTTTTTTCTCTTTTTCATTCTCCCTTTCTCTTCTACACCCCTGCCCCATCCTTTTATTTTTCTGCTTAAATTTTATTATATTTCCAACAATTTCCTTTCTTTTTTTATTCTCACCTGAAGATATGTTTTATTGATTTTTAGAGAGAGGGAAGGGGGGAGGGAGAAAGAGAGATGTGAGAGAGAAACATTGATGTGTTGCTTCCCATATGTGTCCCAAATGGGGATTGAACTTGCAATGTAGGTATGTACCCTGAAGAGGAATTGAACCTCCAAACTTTTGGTGTACTGGATGATGCTCTAACCAACTGAGCCAACTGGCCTGGGTTGAAGAGTTTCTCTTTTATATAGGTTTTGTCTTTGAAGAAAACTCCTTTGGCTACTTGGATTCAAGCTTTCATGATACCCAGACAACCTCAGCAATGCCTAACAATCCTGAAGTTCCTTTTGAACTCATCCTTATAATGGAGACAGGAAGCCTCCACTGCTGTTCAACAATCTTTCTCAGATGGTTATACTACCTGGCTTCCACATTAGCATGTCCTGTCTTGCTTTCTGGATAAAATGTTCTTTGCAGTTTCCGGGTTTACTAGTTTTAGGACTATCAGAAATCTTTCTGCCTTCTTTCTGCTTCCTCTTACACTGTTAAATATATATACTAGTATTGGTAGTGTGGTACAGCTCAATGGAATTTTTTGGTTGGTAAGAATATTATTTCACTACTTTGGTTTAAAAATGCTTTAAATATTTTATTTTATTTGTTTACTTATTTAGTGCTTTAACATATTTGTTACTATGCCTGTTTTGTTGGGAGAGTCAAGAAGGATTAAGTATATTATTACTCCACTCATAGTTTTTGTTAATGGGTTATTATTTATTTATTTTTTTTAATCCTCACTCGAGGACATTTTTCCTTTTTTTGTTCAGATAGAGTGGGAGGAAGAGAGAGAGAGAGAAACATCGATGTGAAAGGGACACATTGAGTGGCTGCCACCTGCACAACCCTACCAGGGCCGGGGACAAACTGCAACCGAGGTACATGCCCTTAGTGGGAACCAAACCCAGGTCTCTCTGGACCATAGGCCGACGCTCCAACTGCTGAGCCAAACTGGCCAGGGCAATGGGTTATTTTTTAGAGCATTTTAGGCTCACAAAAGTATTGAACAGAAGGTATAGATTGATTTTTGTATATTAACCTGCATATTCTGCAACATTGCTATAATTGCTTATTAGTTTCAGAAAATTCTTTTTGATATTTTTAGATTTTCTGCATAAATAACCAGGTCATCTGTAAACAAAAACTGGCGTGTGTGTGTGTGTGTGTGTGTGTGTGTGTGTGTGTGTGGTTAATCTTCACCCAAGGATATTGTTTCATTGATTTTTTTTTTTTTTTTTTAGATAGAGTGGAAGAGAGGAAGGGAGCCGGGGAAGAGAAACATCAATGTGACAGAGACACATTGATTGGCTGCCTCCTGCATAACCCTGACTGGGCCGGGTATTGAACCTGCAATCCAGGTATGTGCCCTTGACATGGAATTAAACCTGAGACCTGACACGGAATTGAACCTGAGACCCTTTGGTCCACAGGCTGATATAACTGCTGAACAAAACTGTCAAGGGCAACAAAGACAGTTTTATTTCTTCCTTCTCAATTTGTATACCTTTTATTTCCTTGTCTTGTCTTATTGTGTTAGCTAGGACTTCTAGTACAATGTTGCAAAAAAGTAGTAAAGGAGACATTCTTTCTGATCTTAGTAGGAAAATTTCATGCTTATCACCATTGAGTATAATGTTGGCCATAGTGTTTTTGTAGATTTTTATCAAGAGGGGAAAATGTTCCTCAATTTCTAGTTTACTGAGAGCTTTTATCATAACAGAGGTTGGGTTTTGTCAAATGCTTTTTCTACATCTATTGATATAATCATGTGATTTTTCTTTTTTTTCCTTATTGATGTGATGGATTAAATTAATTGATGTGATAGATTATATTAATTGATTTTCCTTGCAATACTAAGATGAATCCCACTTAGTCATAATATATAATTATTTTTGTACATTGTTGTATTACATCAGTGATTTAATTAAATAGTATTTTGTTGAAGATGTATATATGTGTTTGTATATCTCTTATCTTTCTATCCATCTATCTATCCATCTATCATCTATCTATCTATCTATCTATCTATCTATCTATCTATCTATCTATCTAGGGAGATATGCTTATTGGTCTGTACTTTTCTTGTACTTTCTTTGTTTGGTGTTGGTATTAGGATAATTGTAGCCTCATAGAATGAGTTAGGAAATAGTCCCACTGCTTCTTACTTCTGAAAGAAATTAGAGAAAATTGGTATGATTTCATCCTTAAATGTTTGGTAGAATTCAGCAGTAAATCCATGTGGGCCTGATGCTTTCTGTTTTGGAAGATTATTAATCATTCAATCAATTTTAAAAATAGATATAGGCCTGGTCAGATAGTCTATCTCTTTTTGTGTGAGTTTTGGAAACTTCTATCTTTCAAGAATTGGTTCATTTCATCTAGGTTACTGAATATATTTTTGGATTTTCTACATAAATAACCAGGTCATCTGTAAACAGTGTTTTTGAGTTGTTCATATTATTTCTTATTTATGCTTTTAATGTCCATAGGATCTGTAGTGATGTCCCCATTTTCATTTCTGATGTTTGTAATTGATGTCCTCTCTTTTTCATAATTAGCTTGGGTAGAGGCTTACTGATTTTTATTTATCTTTCCAAAAGACCAGCATTTAGTTTCACTGATTTTGTTTCACTTTCATTGATTTTGGCTGTAATTCTTTTTTTTTCTCTCTCTCTTTTGTTTATTTTTCATTTGATTTGCTTATTTTTACTAGATTTCTAAGAAGAAGTTTAGATTATTAATTTAATATCTTTCTTTTTCTCTAATATATGCATTCAATGCTATAATATTTCCTATAAGCAGCACTTTGATGTAGCCCACACTTTTTGATAACTTGTATGTTTTTTTGCTGTTGTTCAAAATATTTTAAAATTTTTCTTAGATTTCTTCTTTGAACCATGTGTTATTTAGAAGGGTATTTTTAACTTCCAAGCATGTAAGAGATCTTTAGTTATGTTTTTATTATTGATTTCCTATTTAAACCTATTGTGGTCTGAGAGCAGGCATTGCATGATTTCTACTTTTTTGAATTTGTTAAGGTGTGCTTTTATGGCCCAGGATATGGTTATCTTGGTAAATGTTCCATGTGAGTTTATTAAGATAATGTGTATTAT